TTAAGTCTAGTTTACCCATACCAAATTTCAGCTAAAAATTCAACCGGGAAGGTAGTCAAATAATTTTCTGAAATGTACGGCGTTGTTTAACTTCACAGTTATCTTCAAAAACTCATTTGACTACCTTCCCGGTTGAGTTTTTAACTGAAATTTGGTATGGGTAAACTAGACTTAATGAGGAAGATGCTCAAAAAATTTTATCAAAAAATTCCATCGGGAACCGCCCCAAATGGCGTCGGCAAGACAGAGCATCCGAAATATGACCTTATTTGACATTTTTTTTCGAGTTCGAGGCCCTATCTGACCCTTATCCCAATCCCAAAATCTTTCTTCCAATTTTCTGTCTTTAGAACATCTTCAATGCTAATACGTTAACGGTGCATACGTGGCATGAGAGATATCCAATCAAAAAACAATAAATAAACTATTTCTCTCCTTATTTAAAGGATCTTATATCATTTAGGTAAGTTTTTCTTCACAATATCAAGCACAATGTCTAGATGTAGACAATGTGGTTGACATTGCAGAGAAAAACTTACCAAAAACACATAAGATCATGGAAAGACAGAGAGAGAAATGTCATAAAATCAATCTTTTGTGTGTATTTCTCCCATACCACATGTGCACCGTGCATATTGTAGCATTGGAGATGCTCTTATATATATCTACCGCCTTCTCCAGTTACATCGATCTCCATAGTCCATAGCATGCTCCTCCAAGCTTCAATTGCCATTTCCCTCACCTCTAAGGCAGGGACGGATCCAGGATTCTGAGTCAAGGGGGGCGAAATTTTTCGTTAGTGTAGGGGGTGATTTTTTTTTGTTAGTGTAGCGGGGTGAATTTTTTCTCCTAGTGTAGCGGGGCGAAATTTTTTCGCTACTGTGGGACTATGCGGCTATTTTTATTCAAAAAATGACATTAATACATGCACATCCCGAACGGCATTTAAATCTAATACATTTTAAGTTTAGACGATGACAAAGACATCAACCAATACATTTTTAATAACTTCTACATTGTTTAACCTCATAAATCGGTTATTGAATTGTAATTTTTGTCCACCAAGGAGGGTGTTCGTGAGTCATGACTCATGAGAAGTTTTCTTAATATTACAATAGTAGTATACTAGTATGTATGATATTGTTATTTTTAGAATAATGTGCACCACATACACACACGTATATATGGCGCATATTATATTTTAATATTTTTATTAATTCTATAATAATTTAAAGTTTATTATCCATGCAATAAATTATTTTTAGAAACCAAGAAGTAAATGAATTATGTAATCTAATGTCTATAAATATTTATATTTTGGATTCATTTCATGTGATCTAAAAATTGTGTAATTAGTGTGTCTGGTATTTAATATTGTTTGATATATGTTTTACACTTGTTATCTAATAAAGATAATTAAACATTACAAAACTAGGAATTCTTATATAATAAGTATCCTAAATCTTAAATAACGAGTTACTCTATTGTTTATTTGTTTAAGTTATGTAAATTATTTTAGATGTTTATTCTTTCAAATCTCCAATTAAGTATTACATTATGTAAGACTTTATATACTAACTTTGAAAATTAAAAGCTAAGGGGGGCGAATCTAATTAAATTATGAAAGTTTTATGAAAATATTACATATATGGTAAAAAAATTTGAATGTCCAAGGGGGGCGGTCGCCCCCCGCGCCCCCCCTAAATCCATCCCTGCTCTAAGGCTCTAACCTTAATATTTGGTCGCACATCGTTCTGTAATGTCAATATTGCTAAGGCTAGCCTATAGCCTTAGGAAAGTTGGGATCGCTTCTCCAAAAACTCCATCTACAAGCCTCACACAGATCTGATCGTGCTCCTCAAAAACTCCACCGGGCCACCCGATCCTCTCTCTATGTAAGGTCAATATAAACTCAATGAATTTGCATATGATTATTTCAACGAGCTCATCATCATTAGAGATGATTGAGGAAAGGTCGCATGAAATTTGAGGGAAGAAACTTGTGGTTTCTTTAGTTTCACTTTTCCCATTTATGGAGTTTTCCTAAAAAATCTTTTTATCCATTTTAAACACTATATTTTTAGTTTCATCTTTGGATTAACGAAGGCGCTAAGTCCCCGTTCTTCCAGTATCCCACTCCTTGAGGCGAGTGTAAAGAGATGAAGAGGAGTATAGTAGTGGATGTCTCGTTGATGACTCCTATAGGGGTCGAGCGTCGACGTTTTTTGTTCACAGTGGGAGATACCTCGTTAAAAACCTAGCTCATTAGGAAAAACCATGTGGGGAAAAAACCTAATGGGGGGAGAGTACACTGGATGCCTCGTTAAAAACCTCATTAGGAAAAAATCATTTCGGCCGAGGCGTGAAGTTGCAATGGTCGTCATCTGCTGAGTGGAAGGTTGAGAACCGTCTTCGTATTTGAGTGGCTAGTCATGATATGTAGTCCTAATTATCAAATAAAGATGACTTGGAGATAGGTCGATCGATCGTCCACAATATGAAGTCTGAGTCATCCAATGAAGATGATCGGGATGCGTGGCCGAGAGTCCTATATGAAGTCCAAGTCATCAAATAAAGAGGACTAAGAGGTATGACCGAGAAATTGATATAAAATCTGATTCATCAAATAAAGACGACTAGGAGGTATGGCTGAGGGGCCGATATGAACTCCGTGTCATCAAATAAGATGACTAAGAGGTATGGTTGAGAGGCATGTATTAACGCTGCGTCGTCATCAAATAAAGATGACTAGCTAAGAGGTATGTCTGAGGGACCGATATGAACTCTGTATCATCAAGTAAACATGACTATGAGGTATGGACAAGGAGTCTGTATAAACTCCACGTTATAAACTAAAAATGACTAAGAGGTATGGTCGAGGGCTTGATATGAACTCTGCATCATTAGATAAAGATGAATACGAGGTATGTGTGGCCGAGAGGCCTGTATGAACTCCTTGTCGTCAAATAAAGATGACTAGGAGGTACATATGATCGAGAGGCCCGTATGGACTCCACGCCATCAAATAAATATGACTAGGAGGTATGACCGAGAAAGAAGGGAGAGCTACAGAGAAAGTGATATCGGGGTACCACTAGGGATATGTGTTTTTGTGAGAGAGAAGAGAGAGCTAGAAGGAGAAAGTGAGAATGTATATTATTCCTCCAACCCTTTAAAAGGATCTCAAAGGGGAGTGTATATATGCAAAATATGGGCTTTACAGCTAGGTTGGGCCTAGCAGACCCAATTACATCAAAATGGGTTAATACAATATAAAAGCTAGTCTATGGAGGAATGTTTGGAAGTGCCAGGGGCTTATGATCGATGGCTTGCCGAGAGATCACCGAGGGGGTCATGACAAGTGCTCGCCGAGGGTGGTAGTGTAGATTCCTTAATGTTTATGCTTGTAATTTTAACTAGTTTTCATTGTTTGTTGTTATGAAAATTACACACGTTTGGTGTAATACTTTAGTTTCCTAGATATTTGTAATTTATTTAGATTATAAGTTTTTTGAGCTTACAATCGGTTAAGGTCGTCCAAAGGATCAAGAATGGATCTTGAAAGACCTAGGAATGTGCAAAGGGACAACATAAAATGAAGATTTGGAAATTTTTTCCTGTACCCTGTTCTGATACTTGCTTGATTTGGTCGTCTAAATCAAATCCGGAGAACACATGATCATGCATGAATATTTTGTAAAGATTTGCCTTATACCCGACCAGGTGATGGGATTTTGCACCTTCCGGGAAACTGCCTCAAATACCTGATCATGTACCTGACCCTGACAACTCCAAACACCTATAAAAGCACCACTTTCCTTTTCATTGAAGATCACTAATTCACATACACTCTTAATATATTTTTCATACATAGTCTCCAAATGAAAAACTAGACTCCTTTATTCTTGGTTTTTCTTATGAAGCTTGTTGAATGTTAAAGTTGTGTTATTTTCTTAACTCCTCTTGAATATTAATTCTTTCCTTAGCCTATCAATAAAATGTCAAATTTGAAATATTTTTGGGTTTGGGGTTGTAGGGCGGTTGCGGTTAACATCATGATTGAATCTCAGGGTGTGATTTTTGATGAAAAGAGGTTTTCATCAATTCAAAGGCCAAAAGAAACTACCAAGAACTAGAAAGGTGCAAGGTCCATAATGTTTGAATGGTGTTTTGGATTAGGAAACACCACAAATTAGGAAAACCAAAATAGGCCGCATCGTGAAAGACTTTAGTCCCGATTTTCACTTGTATTTAGTGGAAGGTTCAAGGGATGAAGTAGGGGCACAATATTCATATTGGTACCAATTGATGATGTTGCCTTTTGGAAGAGGCAATTGATGATGGAATGTCATCGATTTTGGAGAACACTTGGGTGTTGTCGGATTTGCCACCGACTTCTACATCTTTAAGTTGTAGATGGATCTTCAAAAAGAAGATGAAGGTGGATGGATCAATTGACAAGTTCAAAGTCCGATTAGTCTTCAAGGCTTTAGACAAAAACTCGGAAGTGACTATTTTGACACGTATGCGCTGGTTGCTCGAATGATGACCATTAGGTTGTTAATTGCTTTGGAGACTATACACAATATGATTATACCTCAGATGGGCATCAAGACGGCATTTCTAAATGATGTTCTTGATGAGGAAGTATAAATGAAACAACCCAAAGGTTTCATTATGCCCAGAAATGAGCATAAGGTATGCAAACTTGCGATAACCCCAATTTCTCGGAGTTGTAGTAAAGCGGAGTAATAATTCCAGATGGAAAAATCTACCCCGAGTATCGTATCTCAATTTCGATCACCGGTTAATTCGAGTTATTGCAAGCTTTCTCAAATGATTAATTGTGAAAATGGTTGAATAAATTAAAATAAACAATAAAAATACTAATGGTGAAATTAATTAAATAACCGGAGTAAGTAAAAAAAAAATAACAATGGCAAACCTAAAAACCTACTCTGGCAAATAAACAGAAACTAGTAAACCTCTAAATGATGAGTGTTTTTTTAAAATAAAATACTAATATAATAATTCAAAGTGACTAGGAATAATATTCCAATTCAAATCAATATTCAAGAACTACTTTTAATCTTGACCTGAATCTTGACCTGTAAGAATCCAAACTCCATTAAGAATTGGCCAAACATGATTATACAAAACTAACACAAGTGGTTGAATGCATTTCAATCCACAAACACAATAAAAAAAAGCTAACATATCAATATCATTTAAGATGAAATTCTGGAGCAATTAGCAATACCTAAAGTATATTAAGGATAAAGAACTAAGCTGTCCAAGAGAAAGAAACTGAAATTGAGACCTTAGAAGAGGAAAAGAAAATTTGTTCCGGGCTTTTGCTTGAACCTGATGCTGCTGCAATTTCTTTTCCAAGACCAGCGGCTGCTGCTCTTCTTTAAACTAGCAGCTGCAGTTTTTTTCTTTCTTTCAATTGAAGACTTGCTCTCCTCCTGGTGCAGAAGATGTGTAGAATTCGGAATCGGCGGCTGAAAAAGTAGTGCTAATCTCCTCCTTTTCTTAAGTGTGGTGCGGCTGGAAAAGGTCGGTCTGGGTGATTCTTCCTCCCCGATATTTAAACGGCGGGAGATGATTTTGATCTCTTCCCCAGCCGTTTTGCCCATTCATCCGCTTTCAGATTAGTTTTTCTTCCTAAAAATCCTCCGTCGATCCTTCCGTTTTGCTGTCGTTTTTCTTTTTCTTTTCTTTTGGGTTTGCTGGACCAGAGTAAAAAAAAACACATGCCACTTCCTTCTTCTTGGGCTATGAGGCCCAACTTTTTTTTTTTAATTCTTTATTCTGTCCTGAATTCATGCTTTACTCCAATTTCACTCCAAGTGAGCTCCAAAAATCTGAAAAACAATCCAAAAACAACCAAACACGTGGGATACCATCAAAATGATAAAACCAAGAATTTCCCTCTAGTTAGTGACAAAAGAAAACCATTTATGTGCAAAATTGGGCCTAAAGCATGCTTGAAATCTTGTCATGTTTGTGACTTATCAACTTGTTAAATCATTGTACGGGCTGAAACAAGTCACCAAACAATGGCATCAAAAGTTTGATTAAATTATTTTGTCAATGGTTTTAGTTTAAACCAACCGGGCAAGCGTATCTATAGCCGATTTGATGTTTTAGGGGTTGATGTGTTTATATGTCTCTATGTTGATGACATGCTGATTTTGGAACAGATCAAAACCAGGTTGATGAAACTAAAAAGTTGTTATCATCAAGGTTCTCCATGAAGGATGTGGGGGATATAGATGTGATCCTTGGAATAAGGATTAAACGGATAAACAAAGAGATTGCTTTGACACAAGCTCACTATGCTGAGAATATTCTCAACAGGTTTAATTAGAATGATTGTTCACCCGTTAGTAATTCCATATATGGATCCTAGTGTGAAGTTGATGCCTAATAAAGAAAAGAAAATATCACATCTTGAGTACTCTCTAGCTATTGGTTGTTTGATGTATGTCATGACAAGCACTCAACCCGATATTGCTTATGCCATGGGTAGGTTGAGACGGTATACTAGTGATCCTAGTACTCAACATTGGCAAGCAATGAAGAAAGTATTCAAGCATTTAAAGAGAACCATGGATTATGATTTGTGTTACTTTGAGTATTGTCATTTGGTGTTAATGGGATATTCGGATTCAAGTTGGATATCCAAGATAGATCAGAGGATCAATCTTCTACAAGTTGTTGGGTATTCTTGCTTAGGGGAGGTGCCATTTCTTGAATATCCAAGAAGCAAACTTGTATCACAAGTTCAACAATGGAATCTAAGTTTGTTGCGTTGGTTATCACTGGTAAAGAGGTGGAGTGATTAAGAAATTTAATTTTTTAGATTCCGTTTTGGGCGAAATGGATTGCACCTATTTCTATTCATTGTGATAGTGTTGCCACTTTGGCTAAAGCATATAGTCATGTTTATATGACAAGTCTAGACACTTAAGTGTTAGGCACAATGATTATGCCATAAATAAATGCCCAGTAGCAACCAGATTCATTCATTATAACTACAGGGGCCCAGTTATATACTGGGCATTTATTTATGGCATCTGAAATTGGGGCCCAAAGAGACTGGCAGACCAATTGCAAATATGGAAAGCCTGTTCAAATAAAAGGCGGCATTCCTTCAATCGTGCTGTGCAATCCTGGGGAATGTTCTTCGTAAAAAGATTTCCTTGAAAAAAAGGAAAATGTGGGTCTTCGCGATTGGACATTAAAATTGCAAATTTCGAATTTATCAAATTGAATATGTTTATTCTAAGTGAGTGACACTTGTACGATGCAAGCGAATAATGACCCCGAAAAATCCGGGATAATCAGTTCCAAAAATCTAAAATCCAAAATCCGTTCTAAAAAACGGTGGATTCCAAGGAGACGACAAATAGATCTCCTCTGCGGGTGTAGTTACTATCTCCATATTTCCTGTCATAAATATGGATTTTCGCACCGGGTATACGCTCACCCCGGAACAATGAAGCAGAGGGGTCTACATATGGGAGGTACCCAATCCTCTGTATTTCACTGAATACCCTATACAGGCTTTATTTATGCCATAAATAAATGCCCGGTATATAAATCCGCTTTAAACCAAACCTTACATTTTTTGTGGCCCAAAATAACAATGGGCCCCGATGTTAGAAAGTGTTTGCAATAACTTAAAAAAAGTATTTATCGGCTTTTGATTTAAAAAAAAACTAAAATTAGTGTTTTCAAGTGACAATTTCAGTTCTACTTAAAAAAAGCAATTCTCGGCTTTCATGTGAAAAGTGATTTTTACTTTTTCCATAACACAAAAAGCACTTCTCTTACAAAACACTATAAAGTTTACTTTTCAAAATCACTTTTATCTCAAACACTATTAAGTTTTACTACTAATCATTTTTTCCAAAACAACTTCCAAAAGTGTTTTTTTAAGCACAAACAATTGCAAATACTCCCTTAAGCTATTAGTAAATTATAAATCTTACTCTCTATAAGTTTAGATACCTATATTAGTTAAAATGATTGACCAAATCTTATCATCATTGACTGAAAATGTCTAAAATAGCTAACTAAAAAAAGGTCAAGATGTACGAATTTGATACGTAGTATATTAATATGATCGATTGTATAATTGTTTAATTGAATACGTCTAAGCTAAGCTAGGCTTCAAAATTGCCGATAAAATGATAGGGACATGGATAGCCTATAATAATAAGAATAATAGACCTATTATACTGGAAGACCTATCATAAAAAGAAGCATGTAAGAACATATGTGCACTGCATGCATGTAAGAAGCATGCATATATAACAATGATGTTGTACAGCAATTATCTAATTTAACATCAATTCAATATAATTCAAATCAATTCAATTCAATAAGATTTGAGTTTATACAAAGATCCTGCAATTACTAATAAATGATAAATCAGCTGCTAGCTAGGAGTTACTCTTGGGAGGTGAAGAAGATTGGAAGGAAGAATTGATAATGAAGTAATCATCCAAAAAATTGGAGAATTGGCCATTCGAGGCGCTTCAAATTGGCCATTCAAGCGCCTCTAAAAAATGTGTCGCAAATTGAAATTCGCAGCGCTTTTTATAAGATAAGCGCCTCCAATAAGTTTTTTTATTTATTTATTTTTGGTCATTAGCGGCACGTCTTATTTTAAAAACGCCGCATGCCTGGAGGCACTTTTTAATCTTCAAACGCCTCCAATGATTTTTAAATAATAAATACAAACGAACTTTTGAGGCGCATTTTGGTGTTAAGTGCCTCCAATTTTTAAGATTTTTTAATTTGTTTTTTTTTTTAATATTCATAAAGCATAAATACATGTCATGCGAGTGGATTCCTGACACCATAATATTAAAATTAAAAAAAATTGTTTCATTACATACTCGTTAACGGAAATTACAAAGACACTCTACAAATGTTTAAGCTTGAACAAATTTATCATAAACTACACATAATTCTGATTTACATGTTCATAACTTCATTTATAACAAAATTGGACCATATAATCTATATTCTTCTAATATCATCAATCTTCTTGTGTGTATGCTTCAGACCTTGAATTCCAAACCTGAAATATTCATACAAATTAAAAGAACAATGAAATCAATAGCATAAACTGAATTATATACATCGGTATACTTCGTAATTTCGTAAAACCTTATGAATTGAAGTCCAACATTTGAAACTTTGCAATACATGAGGAACTTTGTAACCTTAATCTAGTATATATATATTATAGTCAATTTAGAATAATTAAACCTTTGCTTTAGCAAGAGCAGTAATTATTAAAGAATGCTTTAGCAAGAGCATTTAAAACTTTGCAATAAATGTCAAGGCTTCTCGTTGTTCAATAAAAAAACTCTAGGCTACTCTTTCTGAATAGATCTTTCAAGGATGTTGCGTTCTAAATCACATAAAAAGTCACGTATAGGCAAAAATAACAATTACCTGGAGAAATCCAGAATTTACAAAAACTAAGCACACTATTTTCACATATAAACTGCCAAATCAGATAAGCAGATAAGCAGAATTGGATAATGAAATGCAAAAATTCATATTAAACAGAACATTCGTTAATGGGATAAGCAGAAATCTACAATTCAAGAAACGAGTAACCTCTATTGATGTCTGCCGATGTAGAAGCCCAGACAAATGGAAGAGGATCATTTTGGTGGCTTGTTCTTGAACGGTTTATTGAAGCTTTGAAGTTCAATTCGAAGCTGAAACGAATCGACAAATTCATAAAAAGTTAATGGTTTCAAGGTAATAAATTCATAACAAAGCAAGATTACTTCTCAGCTCCGTCAAAACATGGCCTGGTAGAATTAAATATTTACTTCCTAAGCCTTGATAGAAGATTAAGGATAAGACGCCCTACATCAAATTGGGGCACTGCGTAGAAAAATACGGAGTAGAGGAACAAAGCTGGGTCTGGCACTACGTATATAAATACGGAGTATGAAACTAAAAACTTAGAAAAAGTACGCAAATTACCGTAGAGGTGGATTCATATCCCTGTCTAGGTAGCCGGAGTTGGAAGCTGCGGGGATAGGGAACGGCATCGCTGCGAGGACCGCCATAGGGTCACGCTTCCTTGGCTAAACAAGGAGGGCTTCATCCATCTGCACTATGTCTTGCTAATTAGGGCAGATCTGCATTCTGCACTTTAGTTTTTATACGGAATATTTAGAGACGCTTCGGTAAAGCAAGCGCCGCACGTAGTATTTATTTACCGATTCACTCAATTTTATACGGAGTAAATTGGAGGCGTTTGTGGACTACAAAGCGCCGCACGCATCACTAAAATTTTTATATTAGAATCATGTTTGTCATTTGGAGGCGCTTATTTACTCTAAAGCGTAGCACGCTTTTAACAAAACTAGTAAACTCACACGTGCGATGCACGGTTTGAGAATTTTTCTTTCAAATTTATTTGTGCTCAGTAATTCAAATTACATTATCAATAAATGGCAGCATCCATTTTCATGCCATACAGTATAATATTATGGCCAAAATGAGAACACTAAGCATTACTTAAAAGTTCAAAAACATCCAACAAATACGTTGAAAACATAACATCGTAAAAATAAATTTAATGTTGACCTAAACATTTTTAACACTTCTTTGAATACAACATTTTGAGTCTTGTCAGTGGTTCCTTCATCTTCAATAACAATTAGAATTTTCAAACTACAACGATTGGTA